AGTCCGCATGTCCTCTGTCTGCCAGACAGTCCGCATGTCCTCTGTCTGCCAGACAGTCCGCATGTCCTCTGTCTGCCAGACAGTCCGCATGTCCTCTGTCTGCCAGACAGTCCATGCTTTTACTCAGTCCCATATCCCTACTGGGGAGGACTGGGTAGAGAAATGCTGGTCTAGACCCTTTCATTGGAATAGCAGTTCACTCTGTTTATCATGGTGTCTTTTGGGCCATGGCACATTGGATAATGTGAAGGCCACAGTTGACCTTGTGTTTGGTGTTTCTCAGGCTAAGGTGCGATTACGGTACAAGCTGGAGTTCCTTCACGGAGAGCAGAAGACCACCAAGCTTGGAGAAGTGGACGGCTTATACTGAACACGCCTAGAACAACGCAAACGAGGATGCTGGGAGCTACGACTATGTGACAGGGCGGTCCGGAGGTTATATGGAGGGTTTCAGCCTGCTGCTTTTATTTATTTCAAAGTTTTATAGTGACTTTAAATTACTTTATTTAGGGATTGACCCATTCAGTTCCAAAAAACATGCAATCTGTAACCAAGGGGCCTCTTGAGGTTGTCAGTGGTGATATCTCACATCAACTAAACTAGGGGTTTAAGCATATCATAGTGGCCTTTTACAACACCATCACATGCTAATTTTTAATGATCTATTTGAAGTATATGTGATTATAATTGAGCTAAAGAGAACTGGCTATAATTGTTTCTAATGTTTTTGAACCACTTGCATTATTTTATAATGTTAAACAAATTATTTGGATTCTTATGAACTAGAAAGTTATTCTTTCTTTGGTCTGCTAGCAGTTTGACATTGCTTGGGGGAATTGGAGACATCCTTGGCGTTTGTTTCATTTTCTGTTTCCTTGGAAAATGCAACCTCCTTGGAGAAAGAAATTGTTATGTTGACCAAGGCTTTTGCAAGGATAATATGGCCATTCTTGCATCTCCTACCACAGCTGTTTTGGTTCACATGTTGTTTTTTCCTTGTCTAATAACCATGCAGCATGGAGTCATTGTGTTTTGGAAGCACCCTAATTCTGACCTTACTTTCTTATAAAGCATTAAAATCCCTTTTTATTATCATATGGCTGTTTTTGAGAAATAAGTTTGCTGGATCATCTGAAAAATATATACATCTTAAGGAGAGCAATCATTAAATCAAAATTGCATTGCATGGTAGCAAGGAGTTTGTTCTCCACGACATCTAATGAGTTTGGAAAATATATTTCCACAAAATTGGTCTCTAATACACCAATAAACATACAAAGATCTGCCACCGTGTTTCTCTACTTAAACAGCTTCTGCAGTGTCATGCACTAACACTTAGCAGTTGGGTTTGTTAAACTGATATTTGTGTGATAGGGCCTTAGCTCTGCAGGAACAGTGTTTTTGTTCCCTGGCTGTTAACCGTCTGTCACCCTATTCTGCTGTATGGACGGGCTGACATTTTGCTGCAGCAATGCAGGAGCATATTTGGCTATGAGAGTTATAGCTGGGGGAGCAATCTGTCATAAGCCACAGCGGCAGTACAGGCAAACACATACCTTCCAAACACATTGCTAACGTGAGGCCAGGGGACTCTCAAGGACGCACTGGGCAGGGACTCCTGACTCTGCCGTACTGCTTCTTGTCCATCACTGACTGAGGCACTTCATTGCCTAATGAAAAGCATTAATATTAACAACTCCACAGCAAAACAGTTCTATGGAGACGGGACATGGATCATTGCAGGGAGAGCTATGATTTAAGCTGTTTAATCATTTTCTGGTTGTTTGCCATGGAATGATGACCTCTGACGTGATTCTGTTATGTTTCTTGTCAGTTCTGTGTGAAGTTCTGCTTAGTTTGGCCTTGCTGCTGTTCAACAGTGGTTCCACATTCAGATAACATCAGACAAATTCCCCCTTTTTCCACTGGATGTCAAATAGTGTCAAATAGTGCAAACTGTAATGAATGTATGCTTGAATAGAGAGCTGTAAAGATTAGTGTTCCCAGTCTACCTATAAAATAAAAAAAATAGTGAAGAATTAAAAAAAACCTACCTACAACAAACAAAATATTCCAAAATTGTAAAAGGAATGTAATTAAGTATTAATTAATTTAATCATTTTAATAATTATCTCATCAGTCTGCTCCTATTAATTGTCCCATATTTTCACTCACCATCAATGTATTATGAGCAGGATTAAAAAATTCTGATATCACTTCTAGGTGTGGTTAAGCAGTAGTCCAGTAATTACTCACTACTCTCATAATGTACTGTGTATATACTTTACCTGCATAATTTGTGGTAGTGTGTGACTGTGTGTATCTGCTCTGCAATGAGCTGGAATCAGGGTTTAGCCAGGGAGAGGGTCTGTCCCCACAGAAACCCTGACTAAGATAAGCGGTTGGAAGATAGAAGGATATACTATGTAACTGATGTTAAATGTAATTACCTGAACACACTGGGTTCAGAGTTGGATTATTAGTACCGAAAAGTACCACTAGGGGGATGTGCTTGCTGTTGAACATTAGGAAAGGCATCTTTGATCAGCGACATGGTTAGACTGTGCTTTGTTTTCAAAACTTAACCTGCGAAAAGAAATTCTTTGTAAACCCATTCCTCAATCAATTTTTTCACTGGTATTTCTCTTGAGGCACAAATGATCATATTATATATAGACATTAGAAAGTATTTTTAGCACATTTGGTATATTATGAGTAGACGCAATGTAATAGAAAAAAGCATGATGATTGGAAAGGCTGAAGGTGAAAGAAGAGCTATCGAGGAGCGTGAAGAGAGAAGGCACAAGGAGAGAAGGAGACATTCTGACTATATGGTCACCAAGAATGAAACATCACACTGAGGATGATGATAACAATAATGAACCAATTATAGACACATCTGTCCACTGTCTTTATGGTCACCGTGAATTGGCACTCAAATCAAAGACCCCTAACAATAATAATAAAATAATACAGATGATAATAATGTTGAGCTGAGATTAAAGGTTAAAGTATCCATCGATTCATGGTGAGCCTGAAGTCTATCCCAGCAAGCTTCCCAGCCTGTCAGGGCACATTCACACACCCCCACACTTCGGGGAATTCGAGGAAGTAGTTTGCATAACCGCAGGCTTTTACACTGAGTAGGGAGCTGTAGTGCCCAAAGGACAGCTGCACACGGAGACCATGCAAAACATGCATGCTTTCTAAAATTACATTATCCTAAAATATAAACAGTTTTGTCCTAAAGGCAAACAGGAAATGTGTCATTATGGAAATAGTGTGGTTTTTACAACATTTCCCGTATAGCCCTTATGTTTAGCCTGCTGAACCTGAAACCGTCAATCCAGGAACATGGGCATCTAGATTGTGGTGATTTCCCTGTAAGCCTATCGGCGTTTTCCATGAATGTCCCATATGTAATTTAATACACCCCCAGGCTTTGCCTCCAACGAATTACAGAACAGCACGATTCTATCATGTCTCACCTTACCTACATGCCTCAACACGTCTAATGAGACTGTACATCGCTATTACATAATCAAGGTAACATCTCTGTTTACTGTAATATTAAATGATGTCAATAGAAATAGAAAATGAGTGATTTTAATAAATATGCCCATACTGCACTGTTTTAAGCTGATTGTCTAGTAGTATAAACATTCTTTAATTTAAAATCACTTCCTGAAAACTGTCATGGACTCATTTCTTGACTCTACACTTTTCCTATCAGGCCAAAATGTCACTGGACAGAGCTGCAAACCGCACGAAACACTACATTAAGGTCTTCACTAAGAGTCGCTCCTCTTCTGCATGAAAAGGAGCCAACTAAGGTGATTCCGACATCTGCCTAGCATGCCTCCTGGACACCTCCCTGGGGAGCTGCTCCAGGAGAGACCCCAACTGGGAGGAGACCCCAGGGCAGGCCCAGGACACGCTGGAGAGATTATATCTCTCAGCTGACCTGTGAGCACCTGTGTGTCCCTCCAGAGATGCTGGAGGAGGTGGCTGGGGAGAGGGAGGTCTGGGTATCCCTGCTCAGACTGCTGCGACCCAGATAAATGGTGGAGAATGGATGGGTGGATGGATGGATGGGTGGATGGACATTAATAAAACTCAGATTCAGCCAGATAAGGCTCAAATGTGAGGTTGCAGAATAATTATTTCAGCCTGACCTTCAATGCCGTCATACCAGATCTGCAACACATCACACTGTCACTATGGCTTTACACCCCCCACCCCCCCCCCATCTGAGAGTGGATTACCAACGTCAGGAGAAAGGGGAAGTGAGATCTGGGAGCTCACTTCTCAGGTCTTTAGTACCACTGTGTCACAGTCACTAACATGTGTGCTCTGTCAATATCTCTGCATCTCCACTCATACGATAACAAAGTTTCTCAAGTTTGCAGGAGGCACCATTACAAAAGACATAAGGAGATGAGACCATGTGCAGGCAGGAGGTGGATCACCTGGGCTCTTGGTGCTCCAAGAACCATCTAGAGCATAACACTATCAAAATGGTGGAAATGGTGATTGACTTCGGGAAACATTCATTCTCAACTCCCCCCAGACAATCTGTGACTTTAAGCAGAGTGGATTCAATCAGGCTTCTGAGAACTACCATCATTAATTTCCTCAATTAGAAAACAAATTAGAAATGTATTTCCTGAGGCAGCTGAGCAAGATGAAGATTGCCGGAAGCCGCCCTGTTACTGCTCCACAGAGGCAGCACTGAAAACAGCCTCACGACCTCTCGGCCTGGCTGCTGTGGCCTGCGCCTCTCGCTGAAAGCTATTGGCTGCCACCTGCCCTCCATTGCTCTTATTTACACAGAGGCACATGAGCGTGCTTAGAGGCCCCTGGGCTGTTTGAGTCGCCTTGCCTAAATTTCTTTAGTATGTGCACTGTCACTCAATGTGCACTTTTATTTTGCGTTGCATTTACCTCAGAAGTCAGAGCTGGTAATGATGTCACACCTGAGCGAACCGCATTCCAGTACAGCAAGTCGGAAAGTCATTTAGCAACATCAGGGACCTCTTTCAAAAAGTAGGATTTCTTGTTGAGCCAGATAACTTTTCAGATTTAAGATACCACAGTTTAAATGTCTTTTGTCTTTGTTCACTTACATTTAGACCAGACTACCTTAAATCCGACAAGTGTTGCTAAACAAGAAGTTAGCCATTGTTAGCAATTCCAGTTGATACAAACACTGTAGCAACATGTCCACAGATACAGTAGTAGTAGGACAGTACTGTGTATATGACTGATTCAATGAGCCACAAATAAGATGTATGTGCTAATAAACACTGCATAACTACAGCTTTCGCTTATGTGGATGAAGGGCGCGGCCATCTTGAACTCTGAATTGCAGTTTCCTCCAGCTTTCAGAGTCAGAGCTCTGACTTGAGGGATATTCCAGTTGAAAATTCCAACTAGGTACTTCTGACTTTCCAGTTCAAATGGAATGCAGTAATACACTTTTTGTACTCATCACCAAACAAACCAGAAGAAATTACTGGCACATACAAAGTAATAAAGTTGATTCTGGTATTGTTTTAAGTGTTTCTGGTTTATAAATCAGAAGCCATTAGACATAATTATCTGCTTTTTGCTTCATTGTGGATCAGGCACTGTTACTTTGGAATAGATTGTGAACCAGCACTGGAATGAGAATCGGTCCTGGGCCTTCTGGGCACCCATGACTTATTTTGCCTAATGGGGATTGGGTTCCCTTTGTTAAATCTCATTGATCGGGTTGGGGATCCCCCACGATAAATTTTGCCGGTCCACAATCCCATCAGCCCACTGTGAAAACTCCCAGTATAGCAGATGAAGATACTGACAAAGACAAAGTTAGTCTTCCTTTTCCTTTTAGAACAAAGTAATGTTTGTTTTCCAAACAGATTGTCCCACCCAGGGGATGACAAGCAGGTTACACAACACGAAGGCACTTCTCTCTAACTGCCCCGTATTCAGGCTGAATCATTTTTTGTGCCCTTGCTGTAAACATCCAAGACCTTACAAGGGAAAGGTGTTGCGCTGCTGTAGCGTGAGCGACCATGTGCTTTGCTGCGGTTGCCTGGTATTTCCTGCACTCTGCATGAATAGGTCTTTTCTTATCAAACTCCAAGGGACAATCTGCTTCTGCTTTGCACCATCTGCCGGAGGGAGCTTGTGTAACCATCGCTCTGATAACCAAAGATAAACTATGGAGCAATAATCACTGCTGGAGGAAGTAGAGCAATATCAATGTACTGACCAGTCCTTCAAAACATTTGCCTGTGTTTGAGAGTTGTGTGTGTGGCTTGGTGGCTCGATGCCACCGTGCTCCTCCACTGCTGGGGCTGCGGGCTTGAAGCCCGGCTCTGTGCCTGAGGAGCACATGCTGAATTTTCTCTGCCATAGTTGAGTTTCCTCCCATCCAGGGTGTCCAATCCCTAAGGCTGCACTTCAGACTCACCTTGACCATATACTGGGTATGAACTAAGAAAGGATTGGGTAAAACTTGACATTATTAATATTCAGTTCAAAATCTAACTTCCAACTGCTTATCCAGCATAGACTCCAGACCCCCTATGCTTCTATTTAGACTTTTTATTTATCCTTCATTTTGTGGCACAGTGGCTCTGTGGGTGGCGCTCTTCCCTCACACCTCCAGTGGTGGGGGTTTGAGTCCTGATTCCACTCTGTGTGTGGCTGTCTGCACAGCGTCCCGTCCAGGGCGCCCCAGTCTCTGTGCCCTGTGCCGCACCGGCATCCCGTCCAGGGCGCTCCCCAGTCTCTGTGCCCTGTGCTGTACTGGCATCCTGTCCAGGG